GGGGGGGGGGGGGGGGGGGGGGGGGGGGGGGGGGGGGGGGGGGGGGGGGGGGGAAGAGAGAGAGAAACATCGATGTGAGAGAGACACATCGATTGGTTGCCTCCCACACGCACCCCGACCCCGCCGGGGATAGAACCATGCCCTTGGCTGGAATCAAGGCTGGGACCCTTCAGTCCACAGGTGGACCTCTAACCACTGAGCCAAACCGGCTAGGGCTGCACTCTGCTTTTTTCACATAACAGTGTATCCTAGAAATCATCTCATTTTTTAAAAAAATATATCTATTGATTTCAGAGAGAGGAAAGGAGAGGGAGAGAGAGAGATAGAAACATCAATGATGAGAGAGTCATTGAACGGCTGCCTCCTGCATGCCTCCAACTGGGGATTGAGCCTGCAACCCGGGCATGTGCCCTGACCGGGAATCGAACCGTGATCTCTTGGATCCTAAGTCCATGCTCAACTGCTGAGCCATGCCTGGCCAGGTTCATCTCATTTTTTATTAGAGATTTTCATTTATTTTTACTGCTACTTAGGATTATTATATGAATGTAACATAGTTTATTTCACCAATTCTCTGCTGATGGACATGTGCATTGTGTCCAATAACTTTATGTTACCAATTATGTTACAGCAGGTAACTTTGTGCAAGTTTTTTTTATATTTGTGAAGTAAGTTCCTACATGGGGATTGCTCGTCCAAGACAGTGATCCATAATACTTTGTTTCATTCAACAAGGAACAAACAGCCCTGGCCCATATGCTCAGTGGTTAGAGCATTGGCCTGTGTACTGAAGGGTCTCAGGTTTGATTCCTGGTCAAGGTCATGTACCTCAGTTCGCTCCCTGCCCCGAGTCGGTGCACGCATGGGAGGCAACCAGTCCATGTCTCTCTCATATGGATGTTTCTCTCTCTCCCCTCACTTCCTCCCTCTCTTCTACTCCCTCCCTTCTACTCTCTCTGAAAAAGCAATGGAAAAAATATCCTCTATCCTCAGGTGAGGATTAATGAAAAAAAAAATGTTGGCCCTGGTTGAGTATTGACCCATGAACCAGGAGATCACCGTTCGATTCCCGTTCAGGGCACCTGCCCTGGTTTCGGGCTCGATCCCCAGGAGGGGGCATGCAGGGGGCAATGATGTTTCTCTCATCGATGTTTCTCTCTATCCCTCTCCCTTCCTCTCTCTCTCTAAAAATCAATTTAAAAATATATAAAATAATGTATAAAAAGTGTTGGTATATTGAAATAAAGAAAACGTATAATCTAAAAAAAAGGAACAAACGACCTACTCTATAAACTGCACTGCGCAAGAAAAAGGTACCAGAGATGATATATTAACAATATATAAATGAACAAAACAAGATTATAATTTCAGATTATTAGAAATGCTATGCAGCAAATTAAAATGGGCAAATGTGATGAAGCATGCCTGGGGGTAGTATGTTAGACTGGTGATCCAGACATCCTCTCAGAGGCGACATTGTAGTCAAGATCCTAACGACAAGAAGGAGTCAGCTGTGGGAAAGTTTGGGGACAGTCTTCCAAATAGAAGAGTAAGTGCAAAGGGTTGGGGGCAGGTCACCCAAGGCTTTTATAAGTTACAGGAAAGAGTTTGGATTTGATCCCAAGGGAAATGGTAAATTGTTTTAAGATTTTAAGCAGAGCTGTGATATGATGTGATTTATATTAAAAATTAAGACCTTGCACTAGCCAGTTTGGCTCAGTGGTTAGAGCATTGGCCAGTGGAGTAAAGGGCCGCAGGTTCGATTACGACCAAAGGCACAGCACGTCCCTTGGGTGCAGGTTCGATCCCTGGCCCCTGTTGGCACATGAGTGGGAGTTGACCAACTGATGTTTCTCTCTCACATCGATGTTTCCCCCCCCTCCCCACTCTCTCTGAAAAGAAATGGAAAAAAATCCTTGGGTGAGGATTAAAAAAAAAAAAATAAGACCTGATTCTGCTGTGTGGAGAACAGGCTCTAGAGGAGCAAGTGTAGAAGAAAACCAGGTAGGAAGCTGTGGAAGGAGTTCAAGGAGAGATGGCAGCTCCCACTGGAGACTAGCAATGAAGAGGGAGAGAAGTGGGCTGATTAGGCTCTGTTTTAAGGGAAGATCCTACAGGATTTAATAATACAGTCCAGCTTTATGTCTTTCCTTATGATTACAAGGAGGAAAATAGAAAACTAGCATGACAATTACCATCAGAAATTTCATGTCACTTTAAAAACTTATTTTTGATTAAAAATATCATATAAGGTCACTGTAAAAAATATTCGTGAAAACACAAAAAGTAAGTTATCCACAATGCTATCACACACAGATAACAAGCATTTACTTTTTTGGTCTATTGTTCTAGGATTTCAATGTATGTATACAGTAACTTACTAATGGGGATTTCAGTGATTTTAGTTTTGCATTCTGATTTTTCACATACGACATTAGCCCGGCTCCCACTCCCACTACTTTATCTCAGGTCCTATCGTCTCCTTCCTTGCCTCTGTGCAGGTCTCCCTGCTGGCAGGTTTGACCTTCACACTGCCCACTTCGTGGTCATTTTAAAAGACAAATATGAAAAAAAGGCAAATACGATTGGCTCATCGCCCCCTTTAAAGCCCCTTTGGTTTCTCTATCTGCACCGGAGATGCGGACAGAGCAGAGCAGTAGCTCTGCGGGCTATTCGACCCTACCTCCCTGCACAAATCACTGCAAGAACGTTGAGAGACATTTCTTGGGGACTTTGGGTCCAGGGAAGGGACAGGTTGGGAAACTAGCCCACGCGTCTGGTGGCCTCACATGACGTAGAGGGGAAGTGGGGACGGATTTGCGCAGGGGCTCCAGGGTCGCATGTCGTTCTAAGGGGCCGAACTCCATGAGGGAGCTCTCACTGGCAGTGCGGGCTGGGTGGGAACCAGTCTCCCGCCCAAGCAAACTGCGGCGGGGGCGGGGGATTCTACGCAGGAGCTCCGAGGACCCCAGTTTAACTGCGTGTAAGGGGCGGAGCTTCGTGAGGCAGTGCCGCCGTGGGGTCTCCCGAGCCTGCGGGCAGCAGGGCCAGCTTGGTGGGAACTGACCCCACAACTGGCGGCCTCACTAGGCCTGCGGGGCGGAGTCAGCGCGATGGGGCGGAGCCTGTGGAGATGGCGGATGGTTAGAACCGCGCTCCGGGGGCGGGGTCGAAGGCGGAGCGAGGCAGACACGCTCGCCGCAGACGTAGGCCTCACCCGACCCCCTGGCCAGGATGGACCGGATGGCTGCTGCAGCCTTGGCGACGCGGGTGCGGCGGCCACTGCAACCCGCGGAGCTCCGCGTGTTGCGGCAGCAGAGCATGCTTTAGGGCGGCGGGGAAATGCCGCACTCAGGGCCAGGAGGCTGGGAAATCGACTACATATATTGTATCCTACCCGAGGGACAGCGGGGAATACGCTCGGGGCTGTCCTTGGGACGGCTGTACCGTGTGCAGAGGGACGGACAGGTCGGGGCCAAAAGAGGAGCAGAGGGGACCTGGTGCCGGTTGGATGTGTAAGAGCCAGGGGCAGTCTGGAGGGGAAGAAATGAGAGCAGGGTGATAACGGGGTGGCTGGTGGGAATTAGGGCCAGGAGTGCTCTGGAGGGGTTGGGGGAAGGCAGTCCCGGAGGGGTTGAGACTACTCAAGGGGGCGGGGCAGTAGGTGGCAGGGTCAGTCTCCACCAAGGGGCGCTCTATTGGAGATGCCGAGACACTCAGGGCTTAGGCCTAGGGGAGGGACTTGGTGCGATCTAAGGGGGTGTTGTAATGGAGACCGCAAGAGGTTCAGTGTAATGCCTGAGGGGCAGAGCAAGGAAGAGACACCACACCTGATTTGATTTTCTTTCTTCCCCTCACGTTCAGCTCCTGGATAGCTGAAGATTCTCGCCTCCTCCGAACTTCCATCATCAACTTTCTCGACCAGCTTTCCCTGGTGATTCAGACCATGCAGCACTTTGGGCCCCCTCTTTCCCGCTAAGCCTGGGTTAGGAAAAGCGGGCTGAGACCCAACCTTGTATCCGGTCCTAGGCCGTAGATCCTTCCCATGGCAATGATTCCTGCAGTAGCTGCCACTTTATTATGGGGCCCTAATCTTTTGCCTGTACTGGCCCTTGGGCATTTGTGGTCCACTTGCTTTGTTTGGTGCTTAAGTGTTTGTCACTGCAGCAAATAAAACTGAGATACTATTCCATTTCTGAGTTTCTTTTCAACTACAGCACCTCCTAATAGTCTTGCCTTTGTTCCAGGGTTGGAGGGGAGGTCTGGGAATCATATATTCAAACACTAGAAGGAAGTTGAAGACAATTTAGGAAATGGAAAATGGGTCCTGTCATTCAGTATTAACTACTGTGAACATTTTGGAATCTTCCTTAGTTGTTTGTTTTTTTTTAAATAAGTTTTTNTGCCCACTTCGTGGTCATTTTAAAAGACAAATATGAAAAAAAGGCAAATACGATTGGCTCATCGCCCCCTTTAAAGCCCCTTTGGTTTCTCTATCTGCACCGGAGATGCGGACAGAGCAGAGCAGTAGCTCTGCGGGCTATTCGACCCTACCTCCCTGCACAAATCACTGCAAGAACGTTGAGAGACATTTCTTGGGGACTTTGGGTCCAGGGAAGGGACAGGTTGGGAAACTAGCCCACGCGTCTGGTGGCCTCACATGACGTAGAGGGGAAGTGGGGACGGATTTGCGCAGGGGCTCCAGGGTCGCATGTCGTTCTAAGGGGCCGAACTCCATGAGGGAGCTCTCACTGGCAGTGCGGGCTGGGTGGGAACCAGTCTCCCGCCCAAGCAAACTGCGGCGGGGGCGGGGGATTCTACGCAGGAGCTCCGAGGACCCCAGTTTAACTGCGTGTAAGGGGCGGAGCTTCGTGAGGCAGTGCCGCCGTGGGGTCTCCCGAGCCTGCGGGCAGCAGGGCCAGCTTGGTGGGAACTGACCCCACAACTGGCGGCCTCACTAGGCCTGCGGGGCGGAGTCAGCGCGATGGGGCGGAGCCTGTGGAGATGGCGGATGGTTAGAACCGCGCTCCGGGGGCGGGGTCGAAGGCGGAGCGAGGCAGACACGCTCGCCGCAGACGTAGGCCTCACCCGACCCCCTGGCCAGGATGGACCGGATGGCTGCTGCAGCCTTGGCGACGCGGGTGCGGCGGCCACTGCAACCCGCGGAGCTCCGCGTGTTGCGGCAGCAGAGCATGCTTTAGGGCGGCGGGGAAATGCCGCACTCAGGGCCAGGAGGCTGGGAAATCGACTACATATATTGTATCCTACCCGAGGGACAGCGGGGAATACGCTCGGGGCTGTCCTTGGGACGGCTGTACCGTGTGCAGAGGGACGGACAGGTCGGGGCCAAAAGAGGAGCAGAGGGGACCTGGTGCCGGTTGGATGTGTAAGAGCCAGGGGCAGTCTGGAGGGGAAGAAATGAGAGCAGGGTGATAACGGGGTGGCTGGTGGGAATTAGGGCCAGGAGTGCTCTGGAGGGGTTGGGGGAAGGCAGTCCCGGAGGGGTTGAGACTACTCAAGGGGGCGGGGCAGTAGGTGGCAGGGTCAGTCTCCACCAAGGGGCGCTCTATTGGAGATGCCGAGACACTCAGGGCTTAGGCCTAGGGGAGGGACTTGGTGCGATCTAAGGGGGTGTTGTAATGGAGACCGCAAGAGGTTCAGTGTAATGCCTGAGGGGCAGAGCAAGGAAGAGACACCACACCTGATTTGATTTTCTTTCTTCCCCTCACGTTCAGCTCCTGGATAGCTGAAGATTCTCGCCTCCTCCGAACTTCCATCATCAACTTTCTCGACCAGCTTTCCCTGGTGATTCAGACCATGCAGCACTTTGGGCCCCCTCTTTCCCGCTAAGCCTGGGTTAGGAAAAGCGGGCTGAGACCCAACCTTGTATCCGGTCCTAGGCCGTAGATCCTTCCCATGGCAATGATTCCTGCAGTAGCTGCCACTTTATTATGGGGCCCTAATCTTTTGCCTGTACTGGCCCTTGGGCATTTGTGGTCCACTTGCTTTGTTTGGTGCTTAAGTGTTTGTCACTGCAGCAAATAAAACTGAGATACTATTCCATTTCTGAGTTTCTTTTCAACTACAGCACCTCCTAATAGTCTTGCCTTTGTTCCAGGGTTGGAGGGGAGGTCTGGGAATCATATATTCAAACACTAGAAGGAAGTTGAAGACAATTTAGGAAATGGAAAATGGGTCCTGTCATTCAGTATTAACTACTGTGAACATTTTGGAATCTTCCTTAGTTGTTTGTTTTTTTTTAAATAAGTTTTTATTGATTTCAGAGAGAGGAAGGGAGAGATAGGAACATCAATGATGAGAGTCATTGACCGGCTGCCTCCTGCATGCCCCCTGCTGGGGATGGAGCCCAAACCCGGGCATGTGCCCTGACCAGGAATCAAACCTTGATCTCCTGGATCATAGGTTTATGCTCAACCGCTGAGCCACATCGGCCGGGCTTTCCTTAGTTTTATAGCTGCATTTATATAGTAAATGTATAACAATAACGTAATGTATAATACTTTGCAAGGTTAGCATTTTTACTAATTTTTAAAAATTATTGATTTGAGAGAGAAAAAAACATCGATTTGTTGTTCCACTTATTTATGCATTAATTGGTTGCTTCTTTTATGTGCCCTGACTGGGGATCAAACCTTCAATCTTGGTGTATCAGGATGACACTCTAACCAGCTGAACTACCTGGCCAGGGCTTTACCAATATTTTTCATCTAACATGAAGTTTTCCTCTTTCTAAAAATTCTTCAAAAGCATTATTGAATGGAGGCATAACAGATACATTATAATGTAATTATTGACCATTTTAATTATTTTCCACTTTTGTCCTATTATGTCAATGGAATTTTTTTATTTAATGTGTTTTTTATTGATTTCAGAGAGAGGGAAAAGGAGGAAGAGATAGAAACATTGATCAGCTGCCTCCTGCACACCCCTTACTGGGGATCAAACCTGCAACCCGGGCATGTGCCCTAACTTGGAATAGAACCAGCATGAGATGATGTTCAACTAAGCCACACCGGCCTGGCTGGAATTCTTGTATATAAATCTTTGCCTGAATGATTGTTTCCTTAAGATACATTCAAAGAGGTAGACTTACTGAGTTAAACATTTATAATTTATTTTATAAAGCTCTCATTTTACCATGCAAAATCGCACTACAGAAAATGTACCTCCTACCAGAATGCTGGTTTCCCCTTGTCACTGTTGGGTCTCCTTGGCAAATTTTATTTTAAAATTTAGTTTGCATGAGAAGAGCAAACAATCCCAAAATACTAAAATCAGAGCTTTGTGGGCTGACTGGCCTTGACTCAGGTCAGTGAAAATAGGTGCTGGGACAGTTGATTTAAGCCTTTCATTGGAAAGAGTGAGCTCCCTGTAAATTATATTGCAGCTCTTGCTAAACTCACTTATAGCAGCTCTTTTTATAGATGCCACTGGATTGTCTCCAAGATGATCATGTTTTCTTACAATAAAAGGTGGTTTTACTTCCTTTTCAATTTGAATGCCTTTTATTGGTTAATATATTTTCTCATTATGAGGTTATATTTTCCTGCTTCTCTGCATGCTGGGTAATTTTAGATTGGATGCCAGACATGATTTTCCTTTGGGTGTTGGATATCTTTGTAGTCCTAGACAAATTTTTTGAGCTTTGTTCTGGATGCTGAATCTTTTAGAGATTTGCTGCGTGGGCCCTTTCAGTATAGGAGTTGTTTTTTTCCACACCACTGAGGCAAGACCATTCTGAATGCCCTGCCCAATGCCTTCCAAACTNCACCACTGAGGCAAGACCCTTCCGAGCACCTTACCCAATGCCTCCCAAATGGTGAGGTTTACCATCCTGGCTGGAGGGGACAGCCACTAGTCTCTGTCCTGCTTGAGCGCTGGGCATTAGTACCTTTCATCTGTTCAGGCGGTTCTTCCCCAAGCCTCACGAAGTTTCCTCATACACTTGTGCTGATCAGTGGTCTGTGGAATACTCCAGTGAGACCCTTNTGTGCTGATCAGTGGTCTGTGGAATACCCCAATGGGACTCCTGTGGATACACAGGGTCCTCACCCTCCGCCACTCTCTTCCCTCTGGTCCTCTACCCCGCAGACTCTGGGTGCTGAGAATTTCAGTTCCATCTCCTAAACTCGGAGTGTCCATTGGCCTCTACCAGGAAACTCCCTCACCAAACAGTCAGCGGGGCAAATGCAGGTCAGACCTCTTGTTTCCCATCTCCCTGGGATCACTGTCCTTCGTTGCTTGATTCCCGTTTTCTTTATAGCCTGTGTTTCATATAATGCCTCTGGTTTTGGGGGACCCTTTCAAGTGGCAGGGTAAATGCACTCCCTGTTACTCCACATGTGTGAACAGAGCCTGTCATTGTAGAACTTGAGAATTCTGATGTGAGCTGGAGGGAGGGAGATGCTGTTGATCGGGATAATGGTGGTGGTGGTCATGATGAAGACAATGAAGAATCTCACCTGGCAGCATGCAGCAGCTGTAGTGGCTACAGGGAGGGTCTCTTTCTACCTTTTTATTTTTTAAATTTTTTAAAAAAATATATCTTTATTGATTTCAGAGAGAGGAAAGGAGGGAGAGAGACAGACAGAAACATCAATGATGAGAGTCATTGGGAATCGAGCCTGCAACCGGGGCATGTGCCCTGACCGGGAATCGAACTGTGATCGCCTGAATCCTAGGTCGACGCTCAACTGCTGAGCCACGCCCAGCCGGGCTCTTTCTACCTTTTTAAAATAAATCATTTATGGCCTGGCCAGTGTGGCCCAGTTGGTTGGGCGTCCTACTGTACACTAAAAGACTGTAGGCTCAATTTCTGGTAAGGGCACATGCCCAGGTTTCAGGCTCGATCCCCAGTAGGAGGCATGCAGGAGGCAACCAATCGATGTTTTTCTCTCTCCCTCTCCCTTCCTCTCTCTCTAAAAATCAATAAAATTTAAAAAAAAAAAAAAAAAAGCCCAGCCTGTTTGGCTCCATGGTTACAGTATTGGCCTGTGGACTGAAGGGTCCCAGGTTTGATTCCGGCTAAGGGCAAGTACCTCGGTTGCAGGTTCAATCCCGTGGCCCTGGTTGGGGTGCATATGGGAGGCAACCAATCAATGTGTTTCTCTCACATCAATGTTTCTCTCCCTCCCCCTTCCACTGTCTCTGAAAAGAAATGGAAACAATATCCTTGGATGAGGATTTAAAAGTAAATAAATAAATAAAAAATTGCAACCCACTGTCTCCCTACCTGCATTACTATAACAGGGTGTGCATGTGTTGGGGGTAAGAGGTAGGTAGGTATATCATGAAGGAGATACAACTGGGACAATAAGGAGTGTGGGTGCAATGAAGCTACTGGAGGGTTCTGAACAAAGTAGAACAAGACCCACCTTATGTCTTAAACAGGATCCCAGTGCCTCCCACACTGAGAATAGGCTGAGGGTGGGCAAGGCAGACATGGGGATAGACAGGCATCCAGGCAAGAGACAGGGTGCTGGGACCAGGCTGGGGGCAGTAGAGGTGGGAAGACAGGAGCAGATTCTGAATGAATCTTGAAGACAGAGCTGCCAGCACTTGCTGAGTAATTGGACATGGCCCTGGACCTCCTTAAATCCTCAGGAACCCTACAATGAGTCACCCTTCCTCCCATAAAGGGAGTCCAGCTCATCTGGAGTCCCAGTTTCCCCACCTGCTTCCCATGTTCACAGACCACCCACCTGCCCCAAGGGAAAAGCCACACACTGACTCCATTTTCCCAACATTTAATTAGGAAAAAAAATTACATGAACAAAGGAAAACTCATGCAACAAAAGAGGAGAGAATAGGGTTTCCGGGACCTCAAGATGGGGCCAGATTCCTCAGAAGAGGCAGAAAAACAAAGGAGTAAGGCACTGCTGCCTCGGCCCCTTGGGGCGGGCGCAGGACAGGGCAGCTGAGGATGAGGGGGTCCAAGGCAAGTGCAGACAACACTGAGGAAGTTTGGCAGTAGGGCCGAGAGAGTGTTCTGGAGCCCCCAGGCCCAGGTCAGGCCCCAGAATGTCTAGTTACAGCTCTCCAGGTGCTCAGATAGAACAGGGCCCTGTGAGAATGTACAGTCCAACTCCCAAGAAGTTTGGAGGGGGGGGGGCGTGCTGTGGCCCAGCTGCAGGGGGACCCCTTGATACAGCCACAGTCCAAGGGAAGCTTCAGGTGCATCACCCCACTCCAAGTGCTGCTGGTGCCGAGGCCCCCTTCTCAGAAAGGGTGGGGCCAGTCATGGCAAGGGAGAGGTGCCAGGAGCTAGGCCAAGGCTGACAGTGTCACAAGGGAGTCAGGACAACTCAAGGAGGTGAATGAGGTTGGCAACATCCCGGGGGGTATTTACAGATAGAGATGGTGAGGTGGAGATAAATTAAATAAATAGGTGGTTGGGGGTATAAATAGTAAGGAGGGCAGGGGCTGTCACAACACCTGGGCACAAGGGCAGGAGGCTGGGGATATTGCTGCTGCTGGGGTGGGGGTTTGGTCCTGTCACCCCCTCCCTGCCTGCAGGGCCCAAAGCAAGGCACTAATGGAGGGGACCCAGGTGTGTAGGGGGGCATATTGGCCCGGTGACCTCACCTGTGCCACCCAATCCCAGGCTCAGCCTTGAGACCCAGACATGAGCCGCCCACCTCTTGACAGGAGGACGGCCCAGGACTGAGAAGCCCCCTCCTCACCGGTTCTGCCACCCTTAGCTGTTGCTGGACATGAGGCTGATGATCTGTTCCAGCTTCTGGCGCAACTTATGCTTCCGAGAAGAGACGTCTCTATCCAGAGCAGTGAGAACCTGTGGGAGGGAGGCCCCAGAACTGGGCTCGCAGGGAGGGACCAGCTCCTCCTAGGCAAAGCCCCCTCCCCGAGGTCTTGAGCTCTTCCCTGCCTCACGCCTCAGCGCATCCCTCCTCCCCTGGGGCCCTGGGCACATGGAAAGGGCTCCAACTTCTCACTACTGAACACATCTTCCCCTCAACCCCAAATCCTCCTCCAGCTGCAGAACTTTCTCCTCCTCTCCACAGCCAGAATGCAGCCCCTCCC